ACTGATACGCAAGAAGCCAATCAATTAGCTATCACTGAGAGGAAAAATACAGGAATTCAGAGTGTCGCTGCAGAGCAGGTACTTGGCTCTTAGTGAGGAAACCAACCTTAGCGTAGATACAATGAATGGTAATCTGACGAGTGTCATTACGGAGTGTGCAGTGGAAGTTGGAGGCAGGGTAGTTAGACAGGACACTGGCAAGCTTTCCCAGGAAACGAAGAACCTAACTAAGAAGCGTCAAACCATGAAAGTGTCAAGTACAACAGACGAAATAGAACTGGCAGAGCTTTTCAAGTTGAATATTAGACGTAAAGTATGCGATGTAAGAAGGTATAACATGGAGAAAATTGAACACGCTCTGAAAAACGGAGAAGCTTCAAAGCAGTGAAGAGGAAACTTAGGGATAGGCAAAAGTAGGATGTATGCACTAAGGGACAAAGAAGGCAAAATAACTACCAATATGGAATAGGATAGTTAAAATAGCGGAGGAGTTTTACAGAGATCTGTACAGTAGCCGAGACAACCACGACCTTAATACTATGAGAACTAGCAGTAACCCAGACGACACCCCACCAGTAATGATAGAAGAAGTCAGAAAAGCTTTGGAGAGCATGCAAAGAGGCAAAGCTGCTGGTGAGGATCAGGTAACATCACATATGCTGGAAGATGGAGGACAGACTGTGTTAGAAAAACTAGCCACCCTGTTTACGAGGTGTCTCCTGACGGAGAAGGGTACCAGAGTCTTGAAGAACGCTAACATCATCTTAATACATATGAAAGGAGATGACAAGGACTTGAAGAATTACAGGCCGATCAGCTTGCTCTCTTTAGTGTACAAGCTATTTACAAAGGTAATTGCTAACAGAGTAAAGACAACATTAGAATTCAATCAACCAAAGGAACAAGCAGGATTTCGAATAGGCTACTCAACAATTGACCACATTCATACTACCAATCAGGTAATAGAGAAATGCTTAGAGTATAACCAACCGCCATGCATAGCCTTCATAGATTACGAGAAGGCGTTTAATTCAGTAGAAATATCAGCCGTCATGCAGACACTGCGGAATAAGGGCGTAGATGAAGTATATATAAACATTCTGGAAGAAATCTACAGAGGATCAACTGCTACCATAGTGCTTCATAAAGAAAGCAACAGAATACCAATCAAGAACGGTGTAAGGCAGGGGGACACAATCTCCCCAATGCTATTTACTGCGTGCTTACAGGAAGTTTTCAGAAGCCTAGAATGGGAACAGTTAGGGATAAGAGTTAATGGAGAATACCTTAGTAACCTGCGCTTCGCCGATGACATTGCATTGTTGAGTAACTCAGGGGACGAATTCCAACTCATGATTACGGAGTTACACAGGGAGAGCAGAAAGGTGGGTCTTAAAATTAATCTGCAGAAAACGAAAGTAATGTACAACAACCTCGGAAAGGAACAGCGCTTCGAGATAGGTAATAGTGCACTTGAAGTTGTAAAAGACTATGTCTACTTAGGGCAGGTAATAACCGCAGAGCCTAACCACGAGATTGAAGGAACTAGAAGAATAAGAATGGGGTGGAGCACGTTCGGCAAACACTCTCAAATTATGACAGGTAGACTGCCATTATTCCTTAAGAGGAAGGTATATAACAGCTGTATCTTGCTGATACTTACCTACGGAGCAGAAACCTGGAGACTCACAAAGAGGGTTCAGCTTAAATTGAGGACGACGCAGCGAGCAATGGAAATAAAAATGGTAGGTGTAACCTTGAGAGACAAGAAGAGAGCGGAGTGGATTAGGGAACAAACGGGGGTTAAGGTTATCATAGTTGAAATAAAGAAGAGGAAATGGACATGGGCCGGGCATGTAGCACGTAGACAGGATAACTGCTGGTCATTAAGAGTAATTAACTGAATTCCCAGAGAAGGAAAGCGGGTTAGGGGGGACAGAAGGTTTCGTGGGGAGATGAAATTAAGAAGTTTGCGGGTATAAATTGACAGCAGCAAGCACAGGACCGGGTTAACTGGCGGAACATGGGAGAGGCCTTTGTCCTGCAGTGGACGTAGCCAGGCTGATGATGATAATGATATGTCGCGAGCAATCAGCGGTGAATTTGTGCGATGTCCAGACGTGCCAGGTCTGGTGGCAGTTGAGATAATCTTTGCTTGGACGGTACAAAAACCTTTCAGCTCTCTTGGACTGTGGACATCATCTGAGCGTCTTCTGAGTAGACGCAGTAGGGGAATCTACTGTCGAATTCTGACAGTCTTGCTCCAAGCATGAGTCAGAAAGCATCATCGACTGCAGCCCACCTCGTTCAGATAAATCTCCACAGTTCAAGCAGACAAGAAGGCAATCTGACGCCCGACATTCGGTAGCTCTACCATGGAAAAGTGACCACAATAACGCGGGTGACGAGCTCATCAAACGACAAGTTCTATTAGCGGTAAACTATGATTCGAACACGGCAGGAGGAAAAGACCAAATACTTGTTTTAACTTGGAAGCACAGCTTATCTGTCGACAACTCATGGCGAGAGCCGACACTAATAACACAGGAGGAGATGCGTACAACACTAGGCCAAATGTGGAAGACTCCGGAACAACTCGAAAACAAAATTGAAGACAAACCCTTTGAGGATATATATTGTCTTTCGTGGGTGCCCCACGTGCTTTTTCATCGAGGAGTCACTCCCTTTTCATCCGGAACACCGCTCATGTGACACATCAACTGGGCTTCAGAATGATGGAAATGGTTCGATTGCGAAGCTATGATATTGTCGAGACCCTGATCACTAAAATGATGGAAAAGGAAGCAGCTTGACCTCTGTATGGGTATCATCACAGTTCCAACCGAAGTCAAATGGTAGATTACGCCGCACACTTGCAAAACCACAGAAAGAAGCCACATGTTTTTATTGGACTGGCTGGTGCAATACAGGCATACCCTGATCAAGATTCAGTACTGTGGTAGTTTTTTGCACACGAAGACAATGTTCTCTAAAGCTCAGGTAAAACTTTATAAACCAAGGACGCCTGCTGCTTCTGGGGTGGGGCATGGTGTTTAAAGTATAATAAACGCAACCAGCACAAAGACGAAAAAGTAGACGACGTTCTATAATGACGACGATGACTTCTGGCTGAGTTCTTCCGCGCCAATTAACGTTTTGGCGTCCACACCTTGTGTCGAATCCGTACGAGTTATTTCCTGTGAACATCTGACAAGTGCGACACAAGCTAGCACCGCTTTCTTGCGATTACGAATGGCGTCCAGCTCCGGAAGGTGAGGTGGGGGTGCGGGATCCGCATAGTACATGTCTGGTCAGCTTCTGGCATTACAAGAACGGTATGAAAGGTGGTGCCACTCACACCAGTTGGAGTATAAGCGATGACGATGTCACGTGTTCTTCATCGTGCCTTGATACGGGAAAAAGAAACACGGAATAATTTTCCTTCTTTATTGAATTGCATGCAAGTGACATAATTAGGTTGAATAAAATGCCTTGAGAGAAAACATGAACTTAATATATGAATACGAGTGGTTATGACGCTCGACTTCAGGTAATGGGCATGATGATTCGAATTTCGTCTCACTGAGAAATATTTTTTCTTCAGTAATTTATTTTTCTCTTGTATCTCTTTCTCTATCTTCTGCATCTCTCTGTGTGCTCTTTCTTTTCCTCCTTAAAGTTATTACATACTACTGCAGACAGACTGCGCTCGTGTTCTGAGAGCGAAGCAGAAGAGGAAGGGGAGGACGAAGATAGTACGCACCAGTTCAACACCTGAATTTAATAACTGAAGATTTCGGTGAAAAATTCATTGGTGTCTTACAAGACAGCTGGAAACAATATTAACCAGATTTTAATGTCGTGTCCCCCCATTAAATTTCTATTCACATAGGGCTGTTCTGGCGATATCCCTGCTATGCAACATTTGTTCAGAATCAGAAAAAACAGAGAACTATTTTTTATGATGTCGCCGATACAACTTGCTCAGAAAAACACTCTTAGTGCTCCCATTCGCTAGCCTTGGGCTGAACTTCACGATAGAAAAGATACTTTCCTTCGATGCTTCTGATCTGGGCTTCAGCCACGAGAACGTTTTTTATGCAGTTTGCAAGTACCATAATGAAAGAAAATGAATTAAGCTTTTGATTGCGTGATTATTATTTCTGCAAAAAAAAACTCCAACATACACAGGAGCTTTGTTTAATCATGCTGATTCTAGTTCTAGGTAATGAATAATTGTCTGATCTGAACGAAGGACAAACAGCTATTGCACTCCTTTCATTCTGTCTAGGGTGTGTTTTCTTTGTTCTTTCTTTGTTTTCTCCGGTGAGTGAATTAAACCTTGAATTGAAAAAAAAAATCTTACTGAATAAAGTCATCGATTCTTGGCCGATCCATCTGAGTGGATACGAGCCATGGCTGTGGAATAATCATCATCATCACTAGTTCATGAGCACGATAACTTTCCACGGCACACAGCAAACCTCGAACGTTACTGCTCAGCAGTATAAGAAAAAGCGGTTCCTTACGCCTGGGGCCAGTGTTTGTATCACACGCTTTCAACGCACTTGCGGGTGTCTTTGTGTGGCAACGAGCACGTATCATAGGCACGCGGTACGCAACTGTGTTTTGCAATATCTGGCACTTAAGTGCATGCAAATGGTATACATACTAATAATTTCGTAAATGTTGTTATACTTGTAAACTTAACGCAAGCATCAATAATATAATACTATACAGAACGCAATATTGTTATGAAAGACAGACTGCAGTTACTTTTTAGGGTGCCACGTTTCTCTGGAAAAAAGCAAGAGCTATATTTTTCTATGCATGACTACGAATAGCGGTATTGGAACAAGAGCCACGATCTACAGTGGAATGCAAATAATTTCTTTTGCATAGCTGTTGTCACTATATTGTTAATATCAGCTGAGAGGGTCACCCACAAATAGACACTTTTGAATTTTTTTCGGTCTTTGCATTCTTCTGTATCAACCCACCTTAATCTGAACACCAGTGACTGGAACGCCTGCATCAACGGTGGCGCTGACATCGTCGGTTTTTGGTTGACCCGTGACAATGCCGCAGGATTCTGTCATTCCGTACATGTTGACCAGGCACTCGAGACCGGCGAAAGATACGCGCGTTGCCTCGGCTAAGGATGCCGAGAGAGGAGCCCCTCCTGTGGCAATCACCCGCATACTGGGCGTTCCTCGTCCGGTTCTTTGTATTTCACGCACCAAACCTTGCAGGTGAGTCGAAAAGAACAGAGCGGCCGTCGCCTGCGTAGACAACACACAGGATTACGCTTGTATGTTTTTTTATTTTGTTACTAATGGACTTAGCTTGGCTGCTCCTAAAAGCTCAGTGTTCAAAAGCTACTTTGCGAACAGACGAAGCTTTTTCGCATTGAAAAAAAAAGAAAATGACATGGTGGACATTTTATAAGTATTCGAAATACTGAGGACCCTCTGTACATGCGCCTTCTTTTATCTGTATTTTTGGAATTGTTTTTAAATACTAAATCTATTATAAACATGCCTCTTCGAAAATTCTATGTAGTGTTGGTAACGTCTTTTGAAAGCAAAGTTTTGCGAGCCTGGTTCTACCAGCGGTCTGTAGTGACGTATATGTCCAGGTCGAGAGCACATACCACACCTTTTCGAATGATTGAGTAGGGAGATGTATGGATATTTGCATAATAGTTGTTAAGTACATGGAATAAATTGCAATTATAGCGAGATTGGGCTAGCTGGTGGTTCAAACTTTGGAAGTAAAAACAGCGCAAAATTATAGACAAGAACCAAGGAAGAGACGACACTGCACTGAACTCCCAGCGAAACTTTATTGAAAGACACTTTATTGAAAAATGCTTGATATACGTGCGTGTGTCTTTCAAAAAAGTTTAGTTGCGAGTTCAGCGCGGTAACGTCTCTTCCTCTGTCCTTGTCTATATTTTTGTGCTGTTTTTTCTTCCCAAGTAAGTAAAGGGAATTGATACTTACACCCTGCTTATACTAACAGAAATTAGGGCGGGGGTAGGTGTGCAATGAGTGTCAGGCCATTCGGAACCTTCTACCTTTTATCTAGATTGCAGCCCGGTCAAAGTAAAAGAAAATAATAGAAATAAAAGGGACAGAAACAAAAGAAAAGGGAATTAAAATTACACCATCTTCCCGAAGGGGATTATGCGGGGTTGTGAGACATCGCGGCGAGGTTCAACGTTGTTTTTAACGGTGGTGTTTCCAGGGTTGTTGTTACCTTTACGTTGTTAACTTGGTTCGTCACCACACGTCGGGTAAATCTTGTGTTCGAAACTCCAGCGATGCTACGCATCACCCCATGGACCCCTTCAGAGAGATCGTGTCATTTTTTTTATTAACGCGCATGCTGCTAATTGTCATTGTTCAATAACACATAGGAGAAATATCCCGCTGGTACTACCTTCGAGGTCAAGATCCGTAGCTAATGTTTACGGGGTAGCTTGTGTACGGGTGTGCAGCACGTGTAGTCAGTTTTTTTAATGAAAAATCTCGCTAGCAGATTTCTTGCGTCAGCGTTGTGAGGCAGGAGAGGGAGGCATACGAGGGGAGTGAGAGGAGAGAGGACGTGCATTCGCAATGGGGTAGCGAGCGCAAGCAGGTGGTGGAGACATGAAGTTTCTAGGATTAACTAGAAGAAACTCTTTAGCTGCGATCGTACAGCGATCATAGGAATGACGGGTACTACACTAATTTGCCTAGTCGTCATACTTGCGGTAGGAAAATCGCACTTGTTGCTTCGTTTATTGCTGTGTTTCGGTTTTCTGTAGAAAGAGACATATGACCCTTTTTGAACATCGTATACCCCGATTTGAATGGAGAGCCTGGTGAACATCGTATACCCCGATTTGAATGATGAGTCTATATTGGCCTGCCAAGCTGACATTCACCATGAATTGTACACCAATCGCCAGCTATATATGCGTATATGACTCACTACTTGTTGGAAATAACGCTCACTTAAGGAATGCTGACCAACGTTAGGAAGTAAAGTGGTATGCATTATAGAAGAATTCTGGCAAACTTGGCAGGCCAAAACAACAGGCACAGCGGTGTGGTCTTTGAGTAGGTTTGAAAAAGAGCTAAAAACTGAAGGTAAATGCATCTAGCGTAGCAATATGATTTTTGTTTCACACCTTCATTTTAAATTCCTGTCAGATTTATTGCAGATCTATTACACAGATTGAAATCTCTACTGAAAAGTTCCGCATTCGATTCCAACTAATTTCATATGTTTCCATACGAAATCCATATGTTTTCCGTATATTTTCCCCCAATTTCCCACATGTTTCCGTAAGATACTTACGGAAACATACGGAAGTATTGGACATCGCATACGGAACGTTTTAGTAGGAATTGCGTGATGGACTCCATGTACGTACCAGAAAAATCTTTTTTTCTAAGGAGACACACCACAGTAGGGTCTGTTGCACTCTTTGTTATGTCTATTGCGCTAATGTAACACTTGTATAGTGACAATAGTATTATAATTTATGACAGTCACTAGGATATCCACGACAGAAGGCACAATAAAATAATGAAAGACAGGCATTCATACAAAAATTAGGAGACCTATCATCAGCATCAGTTGAAAACCGAGAAGTGGAAAGCATTGGGATTGCAGCAGTGCGTGCCGAGCAGTTATCATCATGTAGATGCGCTCATATGCAAAGCATTGCCCCAGACCGAACACACGTGACTATCAACTGGTGATGACTGGAGGGCGCATGCAAGCCACGGATGCAAACCTTAACAGCGGGAAGCAATTGTGAGGGACGCAATACCCTTGCAATTGCTTGCCGTTGTTAGGATTTCACTACATGCCGATAGTACAAGTGAAATAGAATAACTAAACCATGGACACCATGTATATCCCGGTAGAAATAAATTGCACTCTCTCTCGCTAAACAGAGCCATGTGCAGATGTGAAGCAGCGGGCACTAACGCTTGCATTGGCGGTGACGTTGGCCCTGGCACTCGTTGCGGCGTTGTGCAGCAAAGAAACCCGGGGGGAAAAGGTGCGAATCACGCAGTGGTGGATCGGCATTTCCTACTGGAACATACCAATAGCTGTTAATGGGGAATGAATGACAGCAGAGCCCGATTTAACACCAATACCTGCAGTCCGCTTTTAGTTACCGCGCAGACTGTGAAATTTCACTGTCTTACAACCCAACGCACAGCAGAAATATCCTACTGGCCCTCCCTTGTTGTTCCAGCTTCAGTGCACATAAATGTATGTATGTGAGCTCGCCAGCATATGCTGCCTGCGTCTGCGTTAAGAGAGGAGAGAGGGAGCATGGAGAGGATATAGAGGGGGGACACGCATGCGCAATGGGGGTACAAACGCAGCGGGGAGGAATGCTTAGAGGAGAGAGATGTGGGAGGTAGGAGATGGAAGAAAGGAGAGCGGACGTACATGCGCAGTTAGAGATGATAAGGGTAGTCACGCCACACACCGGATTGAATTGGACTCTAAGCTGCTCCGTGTCCTATATCTCACAGCGAATGTACTCCGATCTGCACTTTCTATTCTCTTGGTCTTCAACAATACACAAAAGGCCCGCTGGATGACGGGAAAATTCTGTTACAACACCACTGAGAACCAGAGCTGCTGTGGTCTACGTGATCGTGCTCTCTAAGGAAGCATGCGGGCACTGCACACATTTAGGGGCGAAGCTCCTCGTAGTCTAGTCTAAAATAAAGTTGTTTCTTTCTGTCTCTCTCTTCTCTTAGTCTAATTTTGTCCTGCGTCTGGCACAACTGGTCAGACATACAGACGAACGGACGGCTGGACGTACAGATGGACAGATGTACGGACAGACACTCTGTGGCGCTACCATCCCAGTAAAGTTGTTTGCGCCCCGTGGAGCACGTGTTTCGAGCAAAGGCCGTATTTCGGGTTCACGACTACCGAGCGCTAGATGGCGTTGTGTTCACGAGAATTTATCACCACCCCCACCATCATTATCATGCTTTTTACAACGGTAGCACCGGTGGTGACGCCTGGCAGCAAGCCTTGGTGGTGGCATAGGAGACAGAAGCGGTACCCTTTGGCGAGTTGCGGTTGGTGGGTACGGTTGTCTCTAGCGGTATGTCTGCCGTAAGGCGGCACGAAGGGCTATCTGTGGGTCACCCTCGTGGTAACTCAAGGGTTCGCAAAGCCACCTTCAGTGTGTTGTTGTGTATGTCATGTTGTTGAGTGTTGTGTATTATTGTGAGGTTGTTTAGCTTGTTGATTACGATCAATGTTATAATACTTTGGCATATGATATTTTCGTTCTAACGGCAGTTAAATAAATGTGTTGTTTGGTTCGTTCTCACCGCGTCTACCGTGTCTGTTCATTCCAAGAGTGAGACGCTTTCACAGCGAGATTCCACAGCACGGACAGACGGACAGACACGCTGACAGATGGGCAGACAGACATGCGGACTGATGGACGGACTAACAGACAGACGGAAGGACGCTTCACCCTACTCATAATCACTCATTCCGTGAATATGCTGTGATTTTGTTTCTTTTACCAGTGACTGACGCAGGGCATTTCAGTTCATGCCATAAATTTGTGCAACTATCGGTATATGGGTGGCATTCTCGAACTCCGCCAAACTTATCCGATTTGATCTTTTCAGAAAACGCAGGCTGCGGAGCAATGCCCGGAGCCTTCACTTCAGTCTGCCACTAACTGAAAAGCAGCCGTGGCATACATCTAGCTTCCGTTGTTTCAGGGAAGTGTGCGTATAACATCACCACATGCGCGGCCCAAGCTACCAAAGTGCACAGATTTCACGTGCGCAATCAATAAGCGTTAAATAACCCTACGTACTGCGCACGCACTTCCCTCACACAGTTGCTCATTTATGCGAACTCTTACGCATACGTAAAACTAAATCCGTCGGCTTTTTATGTTTTCAATTAGTAGAAGCGGTCGTAAGATGTGTCACCTTGTACTTATTGACAGCATCGAGGATTTCCAGAGGGGTCAACTTAGCCGACACAAGGGCGCAACACGCTCCACCCAACATAGCTGCCATCGGGAACACCAATCCGGTCTGATGTGTAATTGGCAGCGTGCCGAGATAAACGTCTCCTTCTCCCCACTGGGGCATGCAACCTGTAAAAGAGTTCGTAAAGCGTCAGAAGGATTGATTTTCTGTAAGCGCTAGCTGTGCTCTAACGTGAGGAGCTTCAGAGTTATAACCAGGGTTGCCAGATGCTACCGAGCAAACAAGTAAACACTCATCACAAAAAAGTGAAAAATGTAATTCTTCATTTTTTCGAGAACATGTATCTTTATTTATCTTTAAAAGTACTATGAAACAGCAAGTGGAGTTAAAAGGTGACCTGAATGATTCGGGTGGTGAAAAATTTGTGATACTGCAAAGAAAAACACACAGCTACTCCTTAATAATGCTCTGTATCAGTATTGCCTTCTGGGTAGATTCTTCATTCAGCCATAAGGCACGTTTGCCAGCGCATAATTAACGTCACCTCTAATTTCCATCAATGAATGTTTGAATGAATGCTTGCTTAAATTTCCCACAACGTACGTTTTTCCTACCCTGACCACCGAATCGGCGGAAAACGCGAAGTTTGCCTCATGTTCACTAAGGAGGATGGACGGAGAACGTTGCAATGAATCTTTGCCTTCTCTTGATCGGGTGCTCTACTCAGCTTATGCACTAAATTACTCAATCATGGGCTAACATACTATTATTGATCGAAAAACGAGCATCAGTGAACGTGCTGATCTTTCAAATATGTATAGTTCATCGACAAATGCAAGTAAGCCCCAAAAACTTGACAAGAAATAGAGGCATTCCACGTGCGTCTAGGCAAGAAAAAACGAAGCCCAACCGCGGTTACTATGAGCGAAAGTGGAAACCAGTGCTCAGAACCATGAATGTCTGAGCAATAATTTTTTAACCTGTTAGACAACCAGCTACTGTGCAGTTTGCGATAACAATGTTGGAAAATACTGAGCGAGACGCTTATCAGTGTACAAATTTTGATGGCAGTGGTATAAATGGCGGTAGAGTGGGCGAGTTTGTAGAAGCAGAATTCTGAACCATTTTCTGCATTCTACGAAGCTACGTAACCTTTAGAATGCCAAGTGCATTCGTACAGATAGCCCTGCCGTGATGGTCTAGTGGCTAAGTTACTCGGCTGCTGACTCACAGGTCACGAGATCGAATCCCCTTTTATATTGTTGCGAAGCGTGCCTCCGACGACGTTACGAAGGGCGCCACGAATTCTCACCGCTGCAATCACTGTTACGAAAGACGGCGACGCCAACATAGGTCCCGAAGGCGCCACTGCTTTGAACTCCGCCGGGAAGGTCACGAGCCGTTTGCTAGCGTAGGTTTCTCAGCTCGCGACTGCTTTTGCGTAGAGCTGATAGACGAGCGGACGAGAGGACGGTGAGTTAAACAAGGATTATGTACAGCATGTCTACAGAGGCATTAGAAATTCGGCACTGGCGCCGACAGTTTAGAGACTCGAAGAGCCGAGCTCTCTTCCCTGACGCATAGGTCTACTGCTCGCGACGCGCCGCAGGGCTTTCTTCATATGCACCGGGTGGATTCTTTGAGTAACCAAATGTTCAACCAGAAGCACCGCTGACCGTGAAGTCAGAATCCTCCAATGGGGTCACCGCTGGGCCTCGTCATTCTCATCGAATCCGGAGCCGCTGCGCTGCACGTGGCTGCACACAAGGACGAGTGACGTCACCACGAATTGCGTCAGACTCGCCAGACAGGAAGGTGCCGATTGCTTTCACTGGGCTCGCTGTGCGTGCGCGACAGAAAGGCACTGCCGCGTGATGACGCCGTCGAGTTGTTCGCGTCAGGCGGGCTCGCGTGCTGGCCTTGGCCCAGATTGCCTTTTTCGGTGGCATGGACGTTCGGTGTGGACTCGCAGGCATAACAACATAGAGGAGGAGATGGTGTAGGCCCGTGTGCTCAGATTTGGACGAACAAGAAAGAACGCCGGCTATTCTAAATTTCTGTAGCCCTCCACTGTGGCGTCTCTCATAATCACATGGTGGTTTTGAGGTGTTCAACCCCACATATCAATCAATCAATCAATCAATCATGCAATCAATCATTCCTTCAGATAATTGCTTCCTGCTGCTGTTGCCTCACCCATACACTTTCGCATGAACTATCGTGAGTAATATTAGTTCGAACACGCGAGCGTGTGGCGAACAGCCTCACGCTTTGCACTGGCTAGGTTCGCAGTGGCCGTTCTTTGAAGCAAGAATTTTCAATTTTGCCTCAAACACAATACAACAAAACAACAGATACCAGAAACGCTGTGCGCTTCTGGTATCTGCTGGCACTCTCGCTTTAATACTGCTGCTGCAACACGGCGGCTACGAGCGGTTAGAGGCTGGGAGTAGTAATATGGAATTTATTATGAACTTATAACCCATCAGAACATGTATCTACTGAGATATCGGCTGTGACGTAGGCTGCCATGCTGCCTTGCCTTCAGGTGGTACTGGCAGCGCATGTTTTATACACGTATTTCACTTTTTTTCGTGTTACCATTGCTTGCGACAGATTTCACGCATTAATGTGCCGTTCACCCGCAACGCTGACAAAGCGGGAGTGCCAACAGACAGTGCAAGAGCGCCCCTCCTTTCCTATCCGCTTTTGGTAGTGCCATTTATGCATTCATCCACGCGTGGTTCTGATTCTGCAGAGTTGACTTGTCTTCACTTACTCATATGCTTACCGAGGTAATTGAGCATCAAAGCATATATTGCAAGGTGTAGCTGATATTACGAGCTTTTATAAAGCTTTCAACTCTAGATTTTATGCTTTGGAGACTTTTCTCCACATTAGAATTTCTTTCCATCGCACCTTCATCCCCAGCCGCCAGTAATAATTTGAAGAGCACTATTGAGCAGCTACTAACAAAGATCAATAAAATCGCTATGCGTAGTCAGGATCTTGAAAACCTGTCTGGCCGTAATGACTTGCTACTGCATTGTGTCACTGAGACACGAGATCAATCCTCCGGTCATTTTCTGTCTGAAGTTTCTGAATGGGTGAAAGAAAATCTACGAATTCATTGCCCAAAGTTGAAAGATGTCATGTCACAGATCGGGACGTCGTCGACAGGCCGATTGACCGCGTTTAATTATCATAAAGCTGCTCTACTATTGTAAGAAAACATTTGTCCTGAAAACTGCTATAAGCCATAAGGGTCTAACTTTCGCACTTTTGAAGACAATATATCCGTCACGCGTAAGAATCATCAGAAAGAAGGTGAAGGGAAGCATTACAGTATATTCGGCATAATGGTTCTATTGTTCATTTGAGCTTTCCTAATGAGTTTTAGATCAAGTTAGATACAACCGGACTGATGACACTAGCATCCTCACTAGGATTCATTCTCATCAAGGAGAATCCCCTTCTAACGTCACCACTAATGCCTCTTTACGCCTCTGGAATGTTCCCAATGAACACCTGCGCATCTAAAGTGTTAACGCTCAAAGCGCTGTCAGTAATTTTTCAAAGTTTGATTCACTTATCATTGCACATTTGCCACACATAGATGGCGTACCAGAAACGTGATCGAATGAACACATATATGACAGCAAAATAACATCTTCAGGTTTTACTCTTGTCAGAATTGACAGACGTCAATGCAGAGGAAGGGATGTCACACTAATTTTACAGTCTGATCTTACATTTTCAGCTATCCCTAGTCCACTTGATTCCAAATCTGTTTGGTGAAAAATCTTCTACAAAAGTATTTTTAACAGTTTTAAGCATGGTTTACCACAAACCATCAACAAACATCGATCAGCTGCTCGCTTTACCAACTTTCTTGCACGATTGCTTCTTACTTACATCGAGCTTGAACTGCCTGAGGTATTTACCACACCCCAGGCATTTTATGGCCATCTCTTTTGCTCACAGGCTATGACGCAGAAACCAGATAAGTTCTGATAGATTTTTCGCTGTATTTTGAAGTAAAGCAGATTGCTCAAAACTAATACGCGAGGAGATACAGTTTTAGATTAAGTGTTTTTGTTTATCCTTTTCTCTCGAACAATGGTTATAAATGCGAAGTTTCTGATGACATTTCCAACCTCAAGGCAATTTTAGTATCTATGCCTGTGCCTGTGCATAGCAACCTTTTTGTATTTTCTACATTTCTACATTTTTAACGAGCCGATGATGTGTTTCATATTGATCGTTATTCAGTTTGTATTATTCAAACACACTAAAAATGTGATGATGTGAATTCCTTGGTGGCTTTTTTGAAAAGTCTGGTGCAACTCGAATGGAGCACTTCCTCCCAGTAAGGACTAAATAGAAAAACCACCAGCTTTCCTGGATATCGCGTGACACACTTGACTTGTCGCGTCGTGTTGCTCGACTAGCACGACTTAGTGCATGACTTAGGGTCACGGCACATAGCGAGCCGTCGTCATGACTTAGTGAGCCATCGTCGCGTCATTCATCGGTGACATCCGGTAGCGAGAACCCTGTGAACAGCGCTGCGCCACTTGCATCCGAGTTCTGCGGCCGCGCACCAGCCAGCAGACAATTAGAGGTTGAAGTTCGATACGCTGCTGCCACTATTCCGAACCTCTAGTCTTGAATTCCGGTTCACCCTGCCCGAGGCAGCCCAAGAGCTCGATAACATCTAGCTTCAGGGCTGTATCAGATGCTTCAGTAGCAGTGCCTCCATGGGCTCAATATACACTTTAGTTACATTGTGGAAATGATGAGCGCCCTTCATTTTCGCGCTTTGTTTTCTGGCTAGCATGTACGCTATCTGTGCGGCTCTAGCGTCGAAAACCACCATTCCTTAGCTATGTGGCAACCATAGCTAAGGCGCGAGGTCCTTTTGGCCTGAAGCGTGCATTGCGTTTTATTTTTCTACCACGAAACGCTAAGCAAAGCACTGGAAGCTAAGTAAGAAAAAATAAAATGAAAAAAAAAAAAATCTGCCGTGCGCGCCTCGTGGCCTTGAACACCTTTAGGGGCTAAGCTTTTTATAGCGGCAACCGTTTGTCCCTCGTAGCCGTTGTAGTTTTGTGTAACAAGTATAATATTTTGACCTCCAAGGTGGTGCCGCTAAGAGATTTCTTCTGTGCGTTGTTGAACAATAAAAAAAAGTGCTCAATGTACATGCCAATGGCTGCTAATGGGGAAAGAGAGACAGGAGCATTTGGCTTTTAGTTAACGCGCACGCTGCGATCCCCATCACCAGCCATTGGCATGTACATTGAGCAATATCTGACAAGAAAGGGTCGCGACGTTATACTTTGTTTAGAAAGGTTAAGCGAGCGTTGAGCCGCAGTGCCATGAATACAATGAACTAGTATATACCATGAACTCGAGGTGATTAAAGGTGGGAATTAGATGCGAAGCGCAAGCAGTAAGAAAGTAAAAGCCGAATTCTCCTGTTTCTCATTTCCCATTAGCAGCCAGTGGCATGTGCATTGAGCACTATCTGACAGGATAAGGTTGCTACGTTATACCTGCTGGGGGTTACCTCCTTGGTTTTAGAAAGGTTTAGCGAGCGTTAAGCCGCAGTGCCATGAATACAATGAACTAGTATATATCATGAACTCAAGGTGGTTAAAGGCGGGAAGTAAAACCGAAGCGCAAGCCGTAAGAAAGTGTGCGTGTGGCACCTCTCTTTTAGTCCTTGGAATTTCCGCTGGATGGTGGTGCTTATATATGGGAAATATATGATATAAAGATGCGAGAGAATGGTACTTGGAGTGTTGAATAGATGGACGAACGAACAACACCGACAGATGCATGATGGACGCATGAACGGACGCAGGGGCGGATGCATGGATAAACGCAGGGACGGACGCACGAACAGACACACGCACGGACGGGCGGATAGACTCATGGACCTTCACACAGATGGACACATGGACGGGTGTAAGCAAGAACGAACGGAAGGACGAATGCTTCGCCCCACTCTCCATCATTCACTCCGTGGATATGCTGCCAATTTTTGTTCTTCTTTTTTCATTTGTGTGGATTTTTAGGGTGATCGCTCACGAGCGCGTGGACAAGTTGTGGTTTTCTGCAGCTTCCTCAATAACCGAGAGCACCATGCTCAAATCGGCCAATCGCTGAAACTTGGCCGAACTGAGGCGTAACTATAGTGCCTTGTATATTCTAAACACTATAGCGTAACAAGTAGCGTGCAATCTCAAAACATTCCTCACGGTACCAAGTGTTGAAAGAGTCGACAAGGTTGTGGCGCTTTGTGACGTTGGCGAGGACGGTTACGTCGAGGATTCGCCGGCGTTGGCCTTCCGTTGTCGGCGCTTCTGCTCGGCTTCCTTGCTCGCGTCCCATCGGTGTTGCCGACGCATTGAAGACGCTTGCGCTCGGCTTCCTCGGCTCGCATCTCGTCGGTATTACCCACACGTCATCTCCCTTCTCGAACGCGATCTGCGTTTTCGACTCGTGCTTCATCGGTTTCGTTGCTATTTCGATGCCGACACTTGCATTACGCTTCCCTAGCTCGTGCTTCGTTAGTGTTGTAGGCGCAACTTCGCCATTCTAGAACGTGATTGGCTATGCTAACTGTTGAAAATATGTAGGAGACGGGGAGTGGGGATATCATCATTAAGATAATTGATTGATATGTGGGTTTAACGTCCCAAAACCACCATATGATTATGAGAGAAGCCGTAGTGGAGGGCTCCAGAAATTTCGCGCACCTGGGGTTCTTTAACGTGCGCCCAAATCTGAGCACACAACCCTACAGCCTTTCCGCCTCAGAAATGCATCAGAAATGCAGCCGCCGCAGCCGGGATTCAATCCCGCGACCTACTGGTCAGCAGTTGAGTACTTTAGCCACTAGACCACCGCAGTGGGGCTGCAAAGTGTGAAAAAAAACGACGTTGTGAGACGCCATAAGCATTGTGAAAGCCATATGTGCTGAGGACTGCGATGTGCGCCAACAAACAAAACTAAGTTGTGAGACGCGACTTACATCCAAACGTGACGCAGCTCGTTTTTCTTTCTGGTTGCTTGACTGAGAACAGCACATGCACCATCGAAAACGCAGCAGAAACTGCGGTAGGCAGAGCATCTTTTGCCTATCAAGAAAGCGCCACCGCATTCTCGTGATGTAAGTCTGGTAGAATTTGAATATAGTGTTTCGAATGCGCAGTCACAGATAGTCGCTGAGGAGGTAAGTGCTAGTCGCTGAGCTTGTCACTGTGGAGGTAAGTGAGGTCACTGAGAAGGTAAGTGCTACGGAGCACTTACCCGCTACAGGTAAATGCTACAGTGAGAGAGCTAGTTGCTGGGGGGGTAAGTGAGGATGAGAAAGCAGAGGATGCTACGACAACAAAAGTGGCGTTCTTTTTTTCTCTGCGCCATCTACACGGAGCAGGCTGCGCGTTTGTAACACCAACGCTTGCTTGCCCCTTCAGACCGTCGCTACCGAAGAGCCGACTAATGACTTTGCACTGCTTGCCGCTTTCCCATTCAAAACAACTGCACAGATTGTTTACCATGGTGTCTGCTGGATGATAATGAATTGTACGAGAAGCAGTCTCTTCAAATACAGCTGTCTCACCACGATGTGTAGCAGCAGGCTACGTAGTTGTAGTGCGTTATCTCAGCACCCTTTGGCATTCCTGTGGTTCCTGATGTGTAGCACACGGCTAGCACGCTGTTGCAAGGGTCAGTCACGGGGCAATCATTAAATCCTTGCTCATCAAGCTTCATAAACTCAGACACCGACACGAAGCCGGCTGCACGTCCCATGCAGAAAAGGGTCTGTAATAGATGAGGAGTTGGACTGTATTGACTATGCATCAAATGATAGGGGAAACTTAAAAATATCTGCAGTCCTGCAAGCATCAGGTCACCAAGAAATACTTCAACGGTCAAAATTTATCTGCAGACATCTACGACAATTCACACAGAAGAGAGCTCGACAAAGAAATAAAAACCTTTGACCGGCGAAAAAAAAAAACGTTTCATACACGAAGACACAACCTCTGAATTATACCGAACGTGTTTATACCAAACGCTTGCACCACACCGAACGAGTGTGAAGGAGATTAAGTGCACATTGCGAAATCTAACAGTTGCCACTCGCTAATATCTTCAACAGTGGATAAATACAAAAGCAATACGCACGCCAACATGCACCGACGATGCGCAGGGGGACGTAGATCATGTGGTCTAATTTGAATTTACCTACCAACGTGCAGGAAAATGAGAAACTTGAATAAGTGTTCTAGGGATACACACAATTCAATGACTTCTCGGTGCACTAGAATAAGGTTGTGCCCAATTACGTTAAGTAATTTCAGTAATGGTGTGGATGGCCTCATGTCTCCCATTTGAAACGTTTTGTACTTTGTTAGCGTTACCTAACCACGGCCAAATATTGTTGACCTCGTGTATGTCTTACTTCCCTGCACATGGTCACTTGCGTGGCTTGTTTTTATTATTGACGCGCTCTTATTCATACAGATAAGATAAGCAGGGGTGTTTACGCTGGTACATTGTGTTTCTGTCTTCCAAAATGTCGGGTTTATTCGGCTAACAGAAATTCTTTGATTGCACTCAGCTGAAGTAAGAAGCTACATTTCAAGAATACCTTAAAGCAGCGCAAAAAAAAAAAGAAAAATAAAACGCGTTCAACGACGAAATTCACACAAGACTAATGCGGAACTACAAACTAAATATTTATTGAAATTAGTCACTCATATCTACTTCACTAAAGAACTGAAAATTGTTTATTCATAGAAACGCCACCAATATGACAAGATTGCGGGCATGCGTGTTGCTATAGAGATGCTTATAGAGAAAACATCCTTCCTTAGTACGGAAACGAAGTAACGCCGGGCTTGCACACCTATCTTTACCTGTAATTTTATAATAGGCTTACACGATTTTTTGTGTATTTTATTTTCTAATGCATATAAAATCTAGTGTTATCAAAGTTAGACGCATAGGTACAATTTTTACAACAGGTTATTACAAACAGTTAAAGGACACTTGATTTTCATCTTCGGAAAATCTACAAAATAAACGGTAATCGTCAAAAATTATGATGTCAATAAAATTGCAGATGACTGCGTGACCACGGTGCCCCTTAGTAACTACTCAGGAGAGATGTTTCCTCATAAACACTTCCAGTATATTTTAACCATGCCTACAATGATTCATTATTCATGACATTTTTTGTGACAAGGAGTTTCTTGTGACATAAGTTTAGTCAATAATCTTCAAATATATAGCTCACACATCAGTGTTAGAACTGTTGTGTGCGTTGCTTTATTGCGCTAGTTTTTTTTCATGGTGCTTCCAGTTCTTCGTCTGACGAATAGACGTCATTTAACCTGCAAGTCTTCGTACATTCTGAACTATTCAAAATGTCCCATGTTATATAACAGCGTTGTGTCCGTGACGTGACTATGAATGTACCATCTCCTACATGCGAAAGAATTATGAATCAATCGGTCACTAAGTTTACTTACAATATTAGCAGTGACAGCTGTTATTAGATCACAACGAAAATGTCAGATGGGTACTTGCGCACCGCTGATGCCGCCACCACCAACCGCTATTGCGCAAAATGGGTCAAATGAAACACGAGAAAAGTTTAGGAACTTCGGCTCTTCTTTATACTTACATCGTCAATCACGCCTGAGCACCTCCGACAGCGGGGGTGGTTAAGTGCCCTAAACCTTGCTTTTTAACCTCAAGCAATGCAGTCAATGGAAGCAGTGCACCTGAGCGACGGATACTACCGGTCGTGGCTAATGATTATTGCCTCCTCCCACTGTCTACCTAGCCGTTGGTAAACGGCTATTCAGTGCTGTCGGTCATGACTCCGGCGACATTGACGGTGGTCGAAGCCCTTCCTATATGACAGAGAGCCCTGTATTGTGACAACGAAACCGGTTTAGGCGCGGTACTTTTATGCTGATGCCAACGCTGCTCTTTGTAACCACTACGCTATCAGAAGAAGTATTAAAATATATATTTATTGAAAGATTGCTTAAAGTGCACAGTATTGGAGCACAACTGGAACCTCTGCGTGGCCGTCGAGTATTTACAGAGTCATGCTGTGTCTTGAATCTCCTTCGCTGAAACATGCTATGAAGTTGTCGTGTCAGACAAGCACACTTTTAAACTATATAATTGATAACAGAAGGGTGAAATAACAGCTACGCATCACATAATGCAAATATGCGTAACGATTGGGGCACTCAACGCCTCCAAATCATTAAAAAAACTTCACCATAATACTTCACCGTCATCAGCCACAGCGCAGAGTGCGCATATTATCTTGCATAAGTGAAGTAGGTTCTCCGCTTATCTTTAGAATAACAAACAGTGGCCTATTGATAGTTTCTCTCCTTGAAGAAAATTACCGTAATTATGGCGAAAACTGGTACATTGCCTGTGAATATTAGCTGCCCGAATAAGGCGCCTAAGAACGGGCTCTGCAAAATACGCCGTTCAATCTTTCGCAGTGAGTGTGCTGCGTGTTTTGCACAGGCTTGGTCAAATCTTGGTAAAAGATACGCTTATCATATTGCCATAACAAAAAGACTGCGCTGTGCGTCATCGTTGTCATGCATTTTGCTCAATCTTAAAAATTTTGGCCAACCCTTAAAAATATTTGGATTTTGATTTATCCGGCCCTGTAACATTCTGAACACTCACAGCTCCCTGGCGCGAAATCATGATAAGTACTAAGACGTGGATGAACATGGCTTGTGGTGGAGTTATTTGTTGCAAGTGTGAATTTGTCTGGGAATATAACACAACGAAAAAAACACACTCTATTAGGTTAAGTGTTTTTAATTATTTTTCAAATATAGAAGCCTACATCCCATGTCCAACTTAAGTCTCTTACAACTTCCGAGAAGTTCGTCGCAACATGAGTGTTTGTGCCTTCTAGTAGGTACAGAGTAGCTTTTCTGAACAGCAAAGTTCCAAAGGAATGCAGATGTGGTCCAATGAAGCAATACATTACTTCGGGTGCTATAACAACCTCGAGGTTGATCGAATTGCTTCAACACAGCCATTTGCGAAGGGTAAGATTGTACATTGGCTGCTGCTCTGATTAATCAAAATATATGAGATTCTATATGTAATTACTGGTTTATTCAACAAGTGACTTGTCTATTGAATCGCCTAATGTGTATAAGCCTTATTATATGAAGGTTAACAAAAGCAGTAACAGACACGTTTTTGTTTTTAATAGTCTAACGTGTGTTATAGTAAATGGCTGCTTCTTGGGACTTGCTCTAGTAACATATGTGGATTAGCTTTCTCCTTACTGGAAAAATAAAAGTGATTCATGCACGTGTAGATATATTATGCACGTAATCAAGGATGCGTACACGTGGTTGCCTACCTTCATTTTCATGTTTGAAACTGCTTTCCTGGTTTTCTCTGCATATTGTTCTTCTGTTATGATATGCGTGCAATCACTGTCTTCGGCCTGGTAGCGGAGTTCCCCTGCAAAAAAAAAAAAAGCCACCCTTTAAAACTGCTTTTGCGTTAAGCTTTCTGATGGCACTAAACGTGTTTCTGCAATAGTTTTTTACCAGCTCATGCGTACTTGAGCTTACAACTATGTAGCGCAAGTGAGCTGCTTGGGGGCGATAGGCTTATTGGAAGTGTAAGCCTGTTACATATATAAATAGCGTTTTTTATAGGAAAACGTTGTAGGCAAGTTGAAGCCTTAAAAGCGACTGCTGATTGCTCGCAAACAGAGAGAGAATGGTTCAATAAGAGGATGAGATAAAAAGGACGCTAGTTCCTGCGTCTTGTCACGAAGGCAAAGCTCAGTGCCTATAGGGATGGGGAGGGGCGTGGAAAGATGATGGAAAAATTAGCAATGAAAACGAAAAGTTCAAATGCATTACAAGGGAGGCTCTTGTCAGTGAAGTTACTAGCACAAAGCGAAAGCGTTCGTTTTAAGGCAGCGAGATGTGCAGAAAGCACAACACTTGAGAAAGGCTCGCAAGCCTTGAGTCTTCGAGACATCGGGAAGAAGGAGGTCGTCAAGTGTTGCCGAAGGCAGGCCGAGCTGTAAATAACGGCTCACCATCTCTTAAAACTTTGTGGCCAGGACAAAACAGGAGGCAGATAAAACTCGGCGGTGTTTCGTTGCCGCCACACCATCAGCACGCTGGCGATCAATAGCGACCCACAGAATACATGCTTCTCGCGGGCCAAGCGCTGCCGGTATGCAGGCGAATCAACAACTGCCGCACCCATCTATCTAGGAGGACTCCGGAAGAGATTCCACGCGGCTTGCCACCATGGTGTCAGGGTAAGAGATTGGTAGGAGCAGCAGCAGTCCTTGTCGGGAGTAATCCGACTGTGCTGCCGCCTTGGTGACTGGCGTGTAGCAAGCAGTATTGTGCGCCTTTGTGGCGGCGTCAGCCTCTTTGTTTTTTAGCTATCACAACGTTCGAGAAACGCCAGTGAAGAGACAGGCACACACTGCTGTCTCCGATGGCAGTCAGTTTGGCGTGTAGCAACGCCGCCGTGATGCTTGTTTGGTGTGGTTTGTTCAGTGCTTGTAGAGATCGTCGCGAGTTGCACAGAATTGCCAAGGCAACAGGGGTAGCATGACAGTGACGTAGTCGGTTGCCATGTGGAGCCTGGCGAATTTATCTGCAGTGGAGATGGCGTTCAAGAGGAGACGGCACGAGACGTTTATCTCAGTGGATGGTGTGACGCAGGCAGCAACAACTGTGCGGGGGCTCTCCCGAAGGGACCCGTCCGTGAAACCAAAAGGTGCTCCCGAAAACTCTCATGGAGTTACGCCACAGCTGCTTGGTGAAGCTGGCATGACGGTGCCTGCATTTTTCTGGCGTTTACTAGCCCTAAGTGCACGTCTTATGGTTGCTGGTGTGGTGGAAAGGGCTGAAAGAGACAGGGTGTCTCGCGCACCCGCTCTTCATAGAGAGCGCAGATTTGTGCAGTTCATGGTCCTGGTAGCTCCGCAGTTTCCAAAGACGGGCAGCGTTCCGGGCACCCTGACCTCTGGTACTCTTTATGCTGCCTGTCGCAGCATAAAGAGTACCAGAGGTGAGGTCTGGGCCTTAGACAGGGCTGAAGCCACGGGCGAATGGCGGGGAAGTCCTGTAAACCACCAAACTACCATGCGCTGTTTCCACCCCAGCTGCTCCTTACGGTTTGGTGCCAGCTGCATCATGGACAGTGCTGTTTGCCCGGCCATTCAAACCCCCTCGTAGAACCTAAAGGACAGCCTCGAAGTACAGGCGTGAGCATAATTGTGCAGACCTCAGATTCGTGTGGCTGAAGGCATCGACGTGCTATCCAGTGACGCAACGTCTGATGCGGTGTGCAGGCTCATCCCATCCTATCAGTTAATTAGTCTCCCATTTCACTCTCTCTGAAGAGCTAGTAGCAAAAACAGCAACTCTTGTCTTGTCTTGTCACCTAGAAAATCTTGGCTCATACCCATAAGGGGGATTGGCCACACTGTACCTTATAATACAAATTTATACACAACGCTTGCTAAAAAGAGAAAAATTAGATGAGAACAACAATAATGTTACTTTAAGAAGAGTGAAAAGGGTACAGTTCAAAAAAGCTAGAATATATAAAACAGATTAGCATGAATAAAGGAGGGAAACAACAAATTAGATATATCTCGCAGTACCACTAGCAGCGAATCCTTCCAGTTGTCCGAATAAATTTATGTAGCGCTGGCAGAATAGCACTGCGGCCCGCACCCAACTGACTGGCTCCAAATGATAAAAGGGTGGATGTAGTAACTGCCAATTCGAGCATACAAATTGGTCTGTCAAGAAATTTTCCGTGCAGCGAGGCGAAGCAGCGGCATACTGAGAAGAAAGTGATCTATTGTTTCCGGTTCATTGCAAACTGAACATCGGTTGCTTAACGAAAATCCTGATTTGTGGAGATGAAAATTTAACCGAGGAACTCTACAGAGAAGGCTTGTGAGGTTCACCTCACATAGACGGGAAATGCATTTTGCGGTGATCCATTAGAATTGCAAGTGCCGAAACGATTCAGATTGTAGGAGCAATGTTTCGTTCATTTTTAAGATTAACAGGCGTTTGAATCGTTCGGCAGTAATAACAGAAAACTGTGGAGGTACTAGTACCACCGGAACATCTAAAGATGCTGAAGCGAGCCAGTCAGCAGTTTCATTTTGTGCAATTCCAGCATGCCTGGGGACCCAAAGAAACCAAACTTCTGATAGGCTATGCGGTACAAGAGACCAAAATATTCTGAGAAGAGGAGACTGATTTGTGGACATTAAATGTATACAAACAAACATAGCTTCCGAAATAATATTAGCTTTTGATTGCCGAGAACTAAGTCTTCAAAGAGCCGAATCGGTAGTCGCTGTCATTGCTCTATCAAATGTGTTCCTTTTCTCCCCTTTTTTTACGTGGAGGCTGCGATGGTGCCTGTTTCAGCGCCGGCATCGCATAGTAATTATGCCGGTTTGTTAGCATAAGTAGGCGTTGCCAGCCTCGCAAAACCTGATGCAGCCAAGCACACAATTATATATTTTCTGTGATCAGCTTGCCTTTGTTGCGTGAGGCCAAGTAGAAATTAACTGAGCCTTCTTAAGTGAATATGAGTGTAGCCGAGTCTAATCCAGCCTAGTTGAGCGCAATATCACCTGATAAATTCGGCCATAAAGTTAAGCCGAGTCCAGGTTGCTTTTTTATGTTGTGCGTAGTAAAGCTTCGATGCGCCCAGATGGGTCGATAAAAGTGGACGTACAGCCAAACCTAATTATGCATACTTTATCATATGCTTTTATCTAGCCGAGCAAACTTAGCCCAAATAGGGCAAACTTTATCACGGCTAGAGTGGGCACATAAAAGCGCTCAGACTACATCAATACCGAGTGTCTCACTGCGGGTGAGTTTTTTACCCTTTTTCGATACTCTTCTGGTTGCGCATCTGCTCAGCTGAGCGCGCTAGGCTGAGGCTATGGTCGAGCGGCCTCCGGCCCTTTCGGAAAGGTTTTTTTAGCGTCCTACACACGGAATGTCTACGCAAGCCTTTGTCGATGGGAAGGATATCACTTTCCATGACATTGAAGACTCTGGATGGTCTGTGGCTGCCACTAAATGTAAACTTCGCGGGACGCATACCTCCAGGACCAAGACGCAAGCAAGCGTCTCCATGCCCAGCCACGTGTGGTCGTCTCAGCGCTCCCGATGTGCGGTGAAGAAGCGCCTTATCACTGCTTCTAGACTTCTCACCCTCCGAGAGATCACCATAGAGTCATCGTGAGACCTAGAATTGGTCTGGACATGCGAGTCAAATTAAGTTCGTGAAGTCACTCGCAGTGGCTGCAGCGCTCAGTGAGGAAGAAGTCGCGGAAGAAGTGGTATGCCCGAACATGATGCAAAACATCGCAGTTATAAGCACCCCAGCGAAGAGAAACCCCATAGCGTATTCCAAGATCACCGCCAGTACTCTTGGTACTGCCAGCTTTGATGATAGTGCCTACCGAGTTGCCCCCGATGACACATGCAAAGGTATTATCAGGGGTATTGACGCGGACATCGGTCAAGAACAATGCTATTCACTTATAGTACAATCAAAGAACCTGACTGCACTCCGAGTGAAAAGAATCGAGAATTCCACCACGGTGATCATCCTCTTTGACAGTTTAAATGTCCCAAATTACGTGATATGTTGAAATAGTTTGGTTTGCTGCACCCTGTATTGTCGACCGACGTATGTCTGTTACACTTGTGGAAAGCTAGGCCATCGAGCCCATGTTTGTTTCCATCTAGAAGAGACGGTCTGTAGAAGTTCTGGTATGTCATTTCCTTCGAAGGATCACGTCTGCAACCAAGAATGCAAGTTGTGTGGGAGTCCACCACCCACGGCAGACAAGACACCTAAGCATCGTTTTCTAGTGACCTACATAGTTCGTCGACGAAGACGAGAGCGACGGATGCAATATTCGATGGAATTTGCGAAACAAGACGCTGACGACATGAACTTACAGAGGGTGGAGGAGACTTTCCATCACTACCAGTCACTGCAGGTGGTCGCACTACGACTGAGCGCCCGAGCAGCAGCTGGCACCCGCCTGACGTCAGCCAAAAGCTTAAACCACCGCAAGGGCAATCCCGTTCCAGAAACAGAGCAAGGGGCCGTTTGAGATCCAGAGGACATTCTAGACCCAAGGGCCGTACTAACTCACGGGTGCCTAGAGGTCGCAATGGTGTGCAGCAAGGAAATCAGCACCAGACCAGGGCATCCAAGGTAAAGGGCTCCCGTTCACAGGTAAAGGGGGTACCAATCCAGAGCAACACTCAGATATACACGCGCAGATGCAAAGGGAAAATGCTACTCTCAGGGCCATTGTCGAGCAGCTCAGTGCTGAAATGGCCGACTTAAGAAAATCATAGCAGGTTTCGTCGCGGTCTCTTTCAAACACAGTTCTCTGTGCAGAGGCCGCATCAGATATGAGTAAC